CAGAGCCTGCATTGCCTTAGCTTATGACATAAGCTCCAAGCCGCTACCGCACAACATTCTTCCCCACTCCACTAGAAGTGCGGCCACGTCAGCAGCCTGGGCTACGCAGGCTTCAGTAGCGGATATCTGCAGAGCGGCAACCTGGTCCTCGTTGTCGCCCTTCATCCGGCACTACAAGATAGATGCTTATGATTCAGCCGAAGCGGCATTCAGCCGCCGGGTACTCCAATGAGTTGTGACCGGAGAGGACTCTGTGGGCAGTCAGCCCCCCGCCCTAGGGGTTTAAGCTTGGGTATATCCCATCCATGGATAGTGGGAGCAGCGCACAGGAAAATGGACGTTGTCTTACCTGAACGTCCCTTTTCTGGGCGCTGCGTACACTATCCATTCCCGCCCGTATCTATGGGCTGCCTGCCCGACTGTAGAGGGCTGTTTTCTGTTATGCAGTTAGCCACATTGTTTTAGTTTAGTTAATAAAGTTATGAGTGTTACTACACCACTAGTTGTCGTTGATCCTTCTTTTACGCCACATCTTCGCTCAGACTGGGGATCATGGGACTGGGGGTGTGGCTAGGCAAAGGGGAAAGGGGAAGTCCCTGGGGAAGGTCTTTTTTTGTCTTAAAGAACACTCAGTTGTTTGCCAAAGGCTAAAGCATTAACTCCCATCCATGGATAGTGTACGCAGCACCCAGAAAAGGGACGTTCAGGTAAGACAACGTCCATTCTCAGATACCCTTTCCTTTCTTTTTAGACCAGGATCTGACATTTTTGAACAAGAATATGTTTTATAATATACCGTGTTTCCCTGAAAACAAGACCCGGCCTTATATTTTTGGGGGCTCCAAAATAAGCCCTAATGCTAACACAATATCATGGTAATTAGCCCAGATGAACCCTCCACCTCCAGTGTGCACAAGTGGTGGCGAGCACATGGGGTCTGACGGTGTTCGGCAGCAGCCTCAACCTGCTGGCTCCTTAGTGCACTCTGGGGCTGTGCAGCCCGTGCAGGGCAGGTGAATTGATTACCAATCCAAGTAGCAGATGGAGGGTGGGGGAAAGGGAGGTGATCAAGGTGCGCCATGCGGGCTGCAGGCAAGCTTAGAGACATGAAGATGAGCCTCCTGCAGCCAGATGCTCACTCTGTCCCACCGTTCCTCAGCTTGCCTGCAGCCCGCATGGCACACCTTGATCACCTGCCTTCCCCGTGCGCCTCTGCCTCCATCTGCTGCTGGTGCCGACCCGCAAAGATGAATCTCCCGCAGCTGGCTGCCCATTGTAGCCCATCAACTCTTGGCTTTCCTGCAGCACATTTGGATTGCCTGCCTCTCTCTGCCTGCTGCTTGAAAGGGTAATCAACTCACCTGCATTGCGCGGGCTGCAGCCGACTCTGGTGCTAGTCACACCCACACACCCCCGGCTGATGACGACCTTAACTAGGCCTTATTTTTGGGGTAGAGCTTATATTAGGAACACACTAGAAAACAGGCTACGGCTTATTTTCTGGTTAGGTCTTATTTTTGGAGAAACAGGGTAACTAGTTATCCCTATATATTATCTAATCATTATATATTAAGTATCAAAAGGTGTATGGTAGAGTACTGACTTCCTGATAATTACAGCTGACATTATGCTTATGTGTATATTTTTGAATTAATACATTTTCTACATAAGAACATTGGCTTAAAATTGTCTGCCATTTTATCATAAGAAAACTTCAAAATATATTATGATTAAAATAATTTACAATAAAATCTCAAAAAATTATGAAAACGATTGTGAACTGTAAAGAAACAAAGGTGACATAAAATTTTCTTAATTGCCATTTTGTAACTAGTTAAACGAATATTAACAATGTTCCTTGTACTAAAAATTATTTATAGAAATAGTCTTTATCCAGGTTTTCTTCACTCAGTAATGATTTCAACATTGAAACATTTTTGTGGACTGATTCCATTAAGTGGTGAAAGATAGCCAGAGACATGTTAATATTTATACTTTGCAACTGATATATAGTATTTTAAACTCATATTAATCCAAATGAAACTTCTGATATTCCAAGAGGAAAACCATATGCAAAATGTGAATTGTCTTAGAAAACTAAAGATACCCAGCATAAATTGTGACAATTATTGGCCAAATTATTTTTAATTATAAAATAATTATTTTAATTATTTCATATATTATTAGAAAAGTTGTTCAAAAGTGGCATGTATCAGAAATTTATAATTCTTATTTCATGCTAGTTTTAAAATGTGTAAGCTACTTTTGTTGGTGCAGGAGTTGTTCTGCATAGAATTATTTTTGACAAGATAAAATTGCTATAGTTTGCTCTCCATATGTGCTACACTGTCAACATAAAATTTCTTTATCTAAGAACTTTGTCATTAATACTAATGGAGGAAGGAGAAAGTGAGGAGTTTATAAAATATTCTTTCTGTTGAGAATGAGAATACCTTTGTAAGTTTGAAAGCCTCTAGAAGAAAATTACAGAATACAGGAAGATGGTGGACCTGCAATGGTTAGAGAAAGTTTGTGAATTCTGTAGAACTATCCATGTCCTGCAGTATTTGACATACAGTGACATAATGAACCCTATTAAAGTTATTCTACTTAAGCGAACAACATCCTGAACAATAGACTGTGTCATGTCTTTAATGAGTACATTCACTATCTTGTTAGAAAAAAATATACGAAGCCTTAAGTTATTCAGTTTTCAAGCGTCAGTTAAATCAGATGTTTCAGTTAATGAGATAACAATCATAATTTAGGAATTCGGCCCTATTAAAATAGATGTGTTGATTGCTACCATGAGAGTCTGCACTTCATGATACAGGATTGTAGAAGTGAAGTGAAGTGATAACATTGGGCGATGCAGAAAAACAATTTCCAGTGCTCCTACAACTAGGAAGGGCAGTAAAACTTTTGCTACAAGGAAAATTTGTACAAAATGTTCTACCGATGGCACCTCCCATCAGCGCGCCTAGCAAAAATGTTTCCAAATACCTCCCCAACGTGTTGGAAGTGTAAGTCACAAAAAGGAACCTATTACCATTTGTGGTGGTCATGCCGAAAGGCGAAACAATATTGGCAGGAAATAAGGATAAAGATAGAAGAAATCACAAATCAGAAATTGGAAATGAAACCGGAAATCTTTCTACTTGGAATAATCACAACTCAATACGAGAAAGAAATAAAATATTTAATTATTCATATCTTAACTGCAGCATACATTCTCTTTGCTCAAAACTGGAAGCATGAAGACATACCAACGGAAAATAAAATAATCACCAAAATTACAGAATGTGCAGAAATGGATAAACTTACAAAAGAACTACAAGAAAAAGATGACACAGATTATTACTTAGCATGGCAAAAATGGTATAACTGGTTAGAGAAAAAGATGGAAATAGATACATAGGGACACAAAAGAAAGAGGTCAATGTAGAGACAAAAATTTGAGTACCAACTAAGGACTATAACAATTTAAATATGGAATTTATTATATTGTCTTATATGTAAATATGTAAATACATAGATATATAGATAAGAATAGAAAAACAGTCTACCGATGTGATAGCTTTAAAAAGGAAGTCGTAAGACTTGATTTATGTTTGTATGTTTTGCATGTTGTATTGTTGTATCTATGTTTGTTCTTAATTTTTAATTAATAAAAAAAATTTATATTAAAAAAAAAACTTTTGCTACAGACTTGGGCCTTCACCAATTTACCGACAGGCAGAAAGTGTACAAGTAAAGAAAATGCAGTATCATTATTGCTCTTTCTAACAGTTATCCAACAAAAAATATTCCAAAGATAAGATATGCAGTCTTCAGAAGGTTGAAAAGGAAGTCAGGTCTAAGAAAAAGTGTTTGCAGGTCTTTCATGTCAATGTCTGTGAATCTGTCGTAAGGGTATTGAGCATGGGAGAATACAAGACGTAAACCATTGTTCTTGAAAAATTATATGCTGCTGTTTCAGGTTTCCCAGAGATCCCCTAGATGATTTGGTAAGCCACTACAACAGTATTCTATGGATAGATGAAAGTGGAACATTCCGGCATTAATAAAAATGTTATTTGAGAAAAATAAACTGAATTACACAAAAAGAACTTCATCGCAACCATGAAGTGGTAGTAGAAACATAATGGACTGGGGTTGGTTTGTAGTCATAGGACTCAGATGGCTCACATTCTTTACGGGATAAAAGAGTTTTGATTGCACCAGGAAATTTTACAGGAGAATATTGAGATATCTGTCCATGATGGGTCAGGCACAAGACAACTTGTGGGCATTGATTGTGAATTACTTTTCGTCATCATCATAGCTGAGAAGAGTTGGTACTGGGGCAGTTAGTAAATAAGGATTACCTATATTGTAGGGTTGTGGATATTCTATAGAGTTCACAACTTTCTCATACTACTATAAAGATCCACCATTTATGACATAAACAAGGAATTCTGAGTAATTATTTCACCAGTTGAATGAAGTCCTGGTGCATTACATGGTCCTATTAGAGCTGCAGAAAATGTTAGTCTAATTGTAAATCAAATACTCCACATGTAATATAGAAATGTTCTATTTTGACACAGAATGCATCCCTCTTTATCCAGTTAATTTATGTACTTAAAACTGTTGCAGTTCTTCATGTTATTTTGATGTATTGCCATGTTTAGATTAAATAGAATGGGGAAAGGGAAAAGGAAAGGAAATAGATTTATCTTGTGACCTTATCAATAATTCCACTGTCTATATTATTTCAGTATTTGCTTATAAGAACTATATGCATTGGTGTTTAAGTCTCTGCCTAATACATTTCAGTGTCAATGAGACAGGATTAAGTAATACACAGCTATATGTGTGCTTACTAATATTTGCATTTTATGTTATCTACCTAGTTGTGTGTTTTATAATGTCTTCATGACATCGGGGAAAAGCAAGCAAGTGAGAATCCTTCATACTTTTATTGAATAAATGAAAAATACATTTTACTCTGGCTTTAGGTTGGCATCCCAAAGGGCTTCTGGTTGCTCATCTGCATGAGCACAAGTCTTCAGTGAATCGTATTAGAGTCTCTGATGAACATTCAATTTTTGCTACGTGCTCAAATGATGGAACAGTGAAAATTTGGGACAGTCATAAAATGGAAGGCAAAACAACAACAACTAGGTAATTTATAATATTTAGGGATACAGATTTAATTCTAGGAGTATATGCCATATAGCTTATGAAATTAAAAAGCATAGAAAAATGAATAGAAAATATAGTTGGGGATCAGCAGAGAGAAGCATGCTTACAATATTTGAGAAAACTTTTTTTTTTTTTTTGCATGTGGGACTAAAACATTTTAATTTTTTAATATTATACTGTACATAGTCCTGCTTCATTGGGTCAATTTGAAGTATTGCAATTTTCTGCATTATAGATAATTACTTAATTATAGACATAAAAATTTAAATACTGGTTTATTTATGAAGACTTTATGCCCCTTCAGTTTAATTTTAAGTGGCTTACAAACAAGGAAATATAGTAATACAATGGAACATTCCTGTTCTTAAAGCTTATATTAATAGTGAAGATACAGATGTCATTAGAATGGAGTTTCTGCAAAAAAGTGCTCATCTCTGAATCCCTTCTGGCCACGCGCACCATATCATTACAGGTAGTGTTCACTTAATTACCAGTACATTAGAAACCATTCTAAGTTACAATGAACCTCCCAAAAGGTGCTTAAAACCTGGATTCCAAGTTGTGATGCCTGGTCATGTGAATGCATTTTGGGCACTTGGCAACCAGCCTACATATACTGCTATTTGTGGCCCTATGGTCTCATCATCACAATTTTTTGACGGGAACCAACATTTGCTTCCAATTTCTGGCAAAAAAAAAAAAGTCCATTGCGAACAATGGTTTTACTTAACCACTGCCTCATTTATTTAACAACCACTTTGCTTAATGACCTCCACAAAAAAATGTCATAAAATTAGGTTGGTCCCAAGACCAATTTAAAAACCAGCATAACTTAACGATCATAATTCCATGCTCAATTACAGTCATGTTGAGAACTACTTGAATATCATTTAAGGATGGCTTTTTTCCTATATCTGGAATGCCTATATAGGACTGTGGAGACCTTTATGCTCACAGTTGCACACACATTGGCTCTAATGAGATTTCAAATTGATGGTGCAATCAATTCACAGATGATTTCATAGAGACTTCCGGTGGTGACATGGGGTCAAGTTGGCACTGGAAAAATCGCTCCGTTCCCAGTGCTGATTTTCTGGCATTTTGGTGCCCCTTAGGGGTGAAGATCAGTCCTGGTGGGACCGGCAAGAAGGAGGGGAATGTTTGGAGGAGGTGTGGAGAGGTGCAGTCTCCCACCGCACCAAGAAGGACGCTCAATCCAGACGCAGAAGAAGCCAGCCGGCATTGCTGACGCAGAGGCTTGGCGTCCCGGTTTAGAGCAATAAGAAGCGGAGAGTGAATATGGTGTGAGATTTAACGGTGAGAGTAAAGAATAGTTTCCAGTTTTTGGACTATTGGAGAGGAAGTGTCCGGAGGGGCAGCAGAGAGGAAAGAAAGATTCCAAATGTGAACGTGCGGCAAACAATGAGGAAAGCAAAACTGGAAGAGGGCGAATTGCAGACCATCAGAACACCAGGGGAGTGGAAAAAGAGATGATTGGAAGGAAAGTGAGTGTTCCAAGAAGCTGGGAAAGAAAAGTGAACCTGAATATGAGGTTCTGCTTTTACTCATATATTTGCTGCTCTAACGGAAGAAGAAGTGTGGATTGGAAAGAAGTAAAGGGCGCATGAGAGTGACTGCAGATTGGAGATCACCATTTTAAAGACAAGGACCAGCTGATTGTCACTTTTGAGTGAAGGACTAAAATTTCAAAGGAAACATTATATCTGGACTTTTAAAACTCACAAGAACTGAAAGTACTATGTACATTTATACAAAATTTATATACTAATATACTTATTTATAAAGTAACAAATAGAATTTAAATTTTTATATTTATAATTAATAGCAATTTAGTATTATTGGTAAATTTATTGTCTTTTTATCTTCTATTTTTTATTGCTCTCGTTTCTTTACCTTTTCCACTTAACTTTCCATTTATTTTTTAAAACAAAGATTTAAAATTTAATTGATTAAATTAGTAATTGTATAACTATGTATTTGTTGGTTTAAACTAAAAGTGGAATAATTTTAGTAATTCTATTATTAATTAAGGTATTAATGAATTTCTCCTTTTAATAGAATTCTATTAATTAAGTTAGAAATTATATTATATAGATAAGTTTTCTGGGATATAACACATTGTGAATTGTGGTGGACTAGTTAATAATCTGGTAGTAAGGGATAAGGAAAGGAAGGAAGGAAAGGAAGTTGAATAGCGAAGTGGATGGTGATTTGGGAAAAGATAGATAGGATTTTAGGGGAACAATATAGAATACTAAAGGAAATGACCAGCACCACCACAACCATTGTGAAGACAGGAAAGAAAACTACTTCGACATTGACTGGACCATCAGCTTCTCCTGCAGCGCAGAGAACAATAGAAGGAATGTTCCCATCAGAAAAACAACCCCCTACTTCGAGTATGCAAATCATGCAGGCTACCCTCTCAACAATTCAAGAGACTATGATAAAAATGCAGGAATGTATCACAAAGAATCATGAAGAAGTGAGGAGGGATATGGATGAGATCAAGAGGGAAGTCAAAAGGGATATCCAAAAATTAGATGAAAAGATGGGTTCAATACAAGAAATCATACAAAAAAATGATCAACGAATAACAGTCATAGAGAAAAGAACAGAACAGACAGAAGAAAAATTGGACTCATTGTACCAGAAAATGATGGGATTAAAGAACTGGAAAATACAGTGGCCCACCTGGAGATGGAGAGAGCTGCATTTTATTTGCGATTTCAGAACGTTGTCGAAGATAGAGAGGAGGACCTGACATTTGTGATGGCGGAAGTGATTGCGGAGGCCCTTCAGCAAGATAAGGACAAAATAATAAACGAACTGGACAAGGTCTATAGCCGTGATGGCGAACCTATGGCACGTGTGCCACAGGTGGCACGCGGAGCCATATTAGTGGGCATGCCAGCTCAGCTCTGGGGCGCATGCGCGTGCCGGCCAGCTGATTTTCGGGCCTTCTGGGCCCACCAGAAGTAGGGAAACAGGCTGTTTCCTGCCTCTGGAGGGCCTGGGTGTGTGTGTGTGTGTGAGGAAGGCCCGTTTTTTTTTCTTACCTGGCTCCAGATCCTCTCTGTGTATCTGGGAACGGCGAAAATAGCCTTTCCCACTTCCTTGGAGGCCCTATGGAGGCTCAAAGGGCCCATTTCCCCACTCCCGGTGGGACAGGAAGTGACGTTTTTTCCTGTTCCCCAGCCTCCAGAGACTCCTAGAGAGGCTCCTACAGACTCCTAGAGGGGTTCCTAGAGACTCCTAGAGAGGTTTTGGAGGCTGGGGACAGCAAAAAATGTCACTTCCTGTCCCACCGGGAGTTGGGAAATGGGCTTTTTCAGCCTCCGTAGGGCCTCCAAGGGAGTGGGAAAGGCTGTTTTCGCCATTCCCAGATACACAGAGAGGATCTGGAACCAGGTAAGAAAGAAAAACGGGCCTACTAGGCCATCATATGCCAGGAGCGGGGGGAGGGGGAGGGGGTTGCGCACACATGCGCGTGGGCACGTGCGCGTGCGATCCTCCCCCGCCCCCCCCTCCTGACACGCGATGGCAAAAAGGTTAGCCATCACTGGTCTATAGGGTCCACACAAACTATGCCAGACAATATAAACTTCCAAGGGAGGTCCATGTAAGGTTTGTGCGAAGAAAAGTAAGAGACATTGTGTATAAAATAACAAAAAATGAACCCATGTTCTATAGAGGCAAGGAAATAACCACATTAAAGCAGGTCCCTAAGAGAATAAGAGAACTGAGAAAGGAATACTGGTTCCTAGCCACATTATTAAATAAGCGGCACATACCGTTTAGATGGATAACACAGGAGGGAATGTTGGTGTCGTGGCAAGGAAAAAAAATTAAAGTGGACTCACAGAGCAAAGCACAGAACCTTCATGACGAAGTGATGAGTATAGAAAGAGCAAATAGTAACGGAGGAGCCGGAACGGAGGACTAAAGGGGCCCAAAGACAGGAAGAACAGGAAAAGGTATTAGAGGAGGGAGACAAAGAGGAAGAAAGGGAACTTAAAGAGGAAGAAGGAGTGAAAAGAAGAGCTAAGAGAAGGGACAGGAAGTAATAGAATATCACGCAGTAGAACCACAAAGAAATGGAACAGAATTTTAAAATTTTATCGTTAAATGTAAATGGTCTTAACTCTCCGGCTAAACGACATCAAATTTTTAGAAAAGTGGTAAAACAAAAAATGGATATTGTGTGCATCCAAGAGGTGCACATAAGGAAACAGGATGAAAAATACTTACAATGTAAAAAATTAGGAGAATCATTTGTAGCATTAGCGGAAGAAAAGAAAAGAGGAATAGTGGTGTACATTAGAGAAGGAATAGAGGATAATTTGAGATATGCAGATGCAGCAGGAAGAATATTGATGATAGAAGTAAAATTAGAATATAAAAATGTTTTATTGGTGGTCATCTATGCGCCGAATAATGGACAGTTAGAATTTTATTAAAAAGTACATGAAAAGATATTAGAAGAAAAAACAGAATATATGTTTAATTGGTGATTTCAACGCAATTATAGATGTAAAAAAGGATTATAGCAGTGATCAGAATAATAAAAAAAAGAAAAATGTACTCCCTAGAACTTTTATGGACCTAGTAGAAGAATTAAATTTAATAGACAGTTGGAGATTCTATAACCCTGACGTAAATAAATTTACATATTATTCCAATCCTCACAAGTTCTGGTCCAGAATTGACATGGTATGGATAACTAAGACACTTATTCAAGAGATAGAAACAGTAGAAATAATGTCAAACAATTGGGCTGATCACAACCCGGTAATGTTGATATGGAAAAGACATCAAAGAAAAAAGAGGAGATGGATGTTGAGCCCACAGAAAAGGAATATATAGAGCAAATGAAAAAGAAATTAGAGTTGTTTTTTAGAGACAATACAAAATACCATACCTCCATTCAGAATCTGGGATACAATGAATGCTTATGT